CCCCCCCCCATTGTGAAAGGTGGATAACCCCTTTCCATGAATAAGTCTACACCCATATGGTAAGTGTCATTATTCTGCCCGACGGCTAATTTAGTGTTAAGATTTACCTTGATCCGCTGAAAGATTATTTAAGTAATCAATCTGTTGTTGCTTGATGAGTTCAGTGAAATACTGAAAAACACCAACGGGCGCCCATTAGAATAAAATTCGAATGGATATAACAGAAGGTTCAAAACTGCTTTAATAATGTACTGATATAACGCTTAAATCTAAAATGCTGACTAGAAACATATAATAACACTAAAATTGTGATGTCTGACCGGTTGTTGTTCTACTTTGAATAAGCAATGACAGAAACTAGATATGAAACCGTTCATCGCAAGTATTGCAAATTTGATTGTAGTTATTTTATGTCTATTTGTTCGTTTTAACCCTTTAATTCCCAAGATCTGATTGTTTATTTCCCCCCTCTAGCCACTACACATTTCCTTGCGAATTAGTAATAAGAATTTGTTGTTGGATCAAGATAGCAACTTCTACCTGATAGGTCTGAATATTTTCCTTACTTTTCTGCTGGATAATGTATGGACGCTGTAGGGAGAAGTTACATGTTAACCATTTCCGGGGATTAAAGGGTTAATGCGTTTGTCTGTTTTTCTGTTCATTTGCTCGTTCGTTTGTTCTGTGAAACGAACTCTCCAACTCCCTCCCTCCTTGAACATGGTTCAAATGCACGCCAAAATCTAATCTTTTGTTAGTTCACCTGAACTATTTTGGCGTCTGAAAAATGTACTCTAAGTCTGCTCAGCACCCCAGGACCATCCTATGAAGAGATAAGATAAAATGAAATAAAGTCATACTTAACCAATGTGCAAAAACAGGCTTCCCAATACAATGCACGACATGCGCACTTTATAATCTTGCATTCAACTACGGAACATAAATAAAACCCAACGTCTTTTTAGCGAAAAAAAAAACATGGGAGAGAAAAAACTTATAACACAGACATGTGCAAGGCTGTCTATCTTTCTAATTGATAAATTTAATCGTCACTTCGTAACAACTACTCCTCACCACATCAGCGATCGCCTGTCCAGACTGTGACTGCTGATTGCTGTACAATGAATAAAATAGAGTAGGAGTGTGAGGATAAAGTGGCAAAGAAGAAGCAAGGTACACTGAAGAGTAGGCACAGTTGGCAATATAAATTAACGACATGACTTAGGTGTAAACGTTTCACATGTAAATATATACCTCTTGCAGCAACACCACTGGAGTCCTCCGAGGCAATAAGCAAAGTAATATACGTAAGCCTTGTTCGCTAACTCCAAGAAGACGCTGAAAGAGCAACGTTCGAAACCAGTGCACGAGTCAGTTTTAGCTGTACCAACTACAATAGTGTGATGCTAAATCAAATGATTATAACCCAGAAGTAACATTCGATTGTGCAATGTGATCGTTCGAGTGCACGTAGCCCCGAAAAAGGATTTTATCAAAGGCGGTGACTGACGAGTCAGTCGTAGTGAAAACTGGCCAATCACAATTTCAGACTCTTATAGCCAATTAGTTGTATGATAGTGACACTGACAATTCAGTTTCCACGAACCAGACTTCTGAACTTCGACTGATAAACAATGATTCCTGTCGTGATTCTACTGATGAATTCACTAAAAATGTTACTGACAGCAGTCCTTAGAGGGACCACTCTCCAAAAGGAAAATTACTTTAAAAAGCAAATTTCTTTAGTAGTGAAACGATTTTTGTTTACTGCACGTCTGACTGTAATTGCGCTCGACGAAAGAGAACGCATTCCTAGTGCAGACTTAAACGAGATTTTTTGGGACAAGGGCCAGTCTTGGGACACCAATTCGGCCGCCCCCCAGCAGGGGCGAACACCAAATGACAACATTTCCAAATTAAGTTTTAGGAGAGAATTTTGAATCGTGGGTAGTTTTGTTGTTCGATCGTTAGCTCGAAGTTGTTTGACTAGCGTTTCGAACGCATCTCTTAATCTCTGATTAATTATAGTTCTAATAAAACTGCGCGTTACTCAAATAAAATGATTTATCGCTTCAGCGAAGATCAAACAAAAGTAAAGGTGACACCAACAAGAAATCTTCAGTTATAAACAAATATAGTTACCTATGGACAAATGCCACTAACGCTGCATTTGACTGAAAAGTAAACAAAGAAGGAAAGTTAATTCTGTGTGCTCCACTTTATGTAGAGCAAGGAGAGAGAGGGGGGTAGGGAGGGACACTCTAGAGGGATCACTCTGCATTTTGTGCACAAAGCAAACACAAGCACCACTCTCAACAAAGGTGGATGTCATTACGAGCTGTAGAGAACGGATTAGGTCACCCAAAAGGGCGCATTTTGATCGAGTGTCGTGAAACTCAGAACAATGTAATCACAACAGCCAATCAAAACTGAAGGAAACATCTCAAGTAGCCAATGACGACTCAAAGTAAATAAAACGGGCAAACTACCTGAAGCGCGGGAAAAATACAAGTAACCAAGACGCGATTGGTTTTAATTTTGTATCTTATGGGTTGAGAGGTTGGCGTGACCAATCACAAAGCAAGGTGAAGCAGACCAATCCCATGAGAACTCAACTGAATTGAAAATAGCTCTGTTAAGATAGACCCCCCGTCATATAAATTACTACCCTAATATGAAGGCAATTCTGAGTATTACTTACTGGCCACATGTTGTTAATATTGCACATTGGACGAATATAACATCCCTGTAAATATAACACAGATGGCTTTATTTATTGTTAATAATAAAGATGTAACCAGTCTCTTAGTGATTCACTAATGACGATGAACAAACCGAAAATGGCTGAGGAATTTTAACCACAAGGACCACATTCAGGAAGGTGATGATCGTAGAAGAAAAACTCTCTAAGATTTGAATTGCGTTCATCAAGGAACGCGACAATTTTTACATCTCGCACTTGGAGTAACGTCACTGGTCGTTAGATCCAGGTCAGCTCCGGCATTATATCAGTATAATTTTCGAATTTTACTTCAGCCAACGGATTATTTTCTTGGAATCAGTCATACTTACCTTATACTGCGGTGTAACAATACGATCTGTTTCAAGGTCGAGAACAGAAACAAACCTCTGAAAAGTAAATATTGCAATTGAGTAATCACAAACTTGACTTATCTACTGTTGATTTGCGCAACCTTCCTAGGTACACAAAGTAACTGGGCTAATTTCAATTCAATAAATTAAATTTCACATCCAAAAAGCTGAAAATTTGAGGTCAGCGCCTAACCCTCCTGTAAGTCGAAAGCGACATTTAAGGAGGTGTAAACGAGATCAAAAGGAAAACGCATTTAGAGTTGAATGATCACGAAATCACGAATTGAATTCTTCTTCAAGGGGGGGGGGAGTATTTTAAAAAGGCAGGGATAAATCCTCTTAGGCTTTTATCCTTTTCGCGCATGTAATGCGTGCTGTAACAATTAAAACGCGCGAGGTTGACGATAAGGTAAACGATAACTCGAAACAAATGTTATCCTATCAGCAATCTTTACCTTCACAGATTTGGGAATCATGTTGAAATGCTTACTCTTTGCGAGGCCAACAAGTTTTAACCTGTTCGTGACCCAAAAAAAATAAATATTTTAAAAATAAGAAATCAAAACTAAATGAATTAACCCAATTTGAGTTATATCTGAAACTCTAGGGTAGCGCAACGACCCTAATTTACATTAAGACATGCACTCCAAAGCACATATCGCTCAGAAAAGGACACAAAATATCTGTTCTCGTCAGAGTCTGTTTATCTATCATGATTTCATAAAATAGCCTACACATTCCCCTACTGCTGTTAAACAAACATGTAATAGCACCATATGAAACACTTTTAACTTGCCATGCAAGGTCAGCAATCTGTAAAGGTTTGGTCCGCCAAGGATCCACGACCTTTCCATGACTAGAAATAAAAAAAAATTGACTCCCACATTTCAAATCGGTTTTGGTGATTTTCATGCTTTCTTATCAAAGAACTTAAGCAGAAACGTTTCTGAAAAGCGGGAGGCAACTGGTTGAAGAATAAAATTAATTCTTGCGCGCTTTGACGCCAACGTATCGAACGTAGGGTCAACGTTTTAGCATTTTAAATAGAACTGTGCTGATCAAAAAGGTTTAATGGCACCAGTAATCAAAACTTTTTATTTGCAGCTGCCGTCTGCGTCTAAAAACTTTTGTGCTTAAGCTCCCCAATGACTCCAGAGGGTTATCGCTAGGTCATCAAAGATGAAGACCGACCTCATATTTTCTGGTACAAACATCCACAAAGCAGAGATGACAATTCGCGCTTCCCTAGGAAAGAAAACACAGAGAAGTACATTAAGCACCTGTCACTAAATAAAATAGACTTTCATAATAGGCTAAATACAGGATTACAAAGTATGACGCAACTCTGTCGTGCAGTTCAAACTAAAACCTAGGAATCTTTTGGCTATTGCTGCAGATACTAAGCCTGTTCGTTCAAGTCTACACAGAAACTCGTTTTGCATTGTGTGCTTCTTATGCAGTTGTTTTGACATCTGATCACGTTAGGAATGTTTGCATGCATCTGGTAAGGTGAATGGTTGATATGTCGCGAAAGCCACAAGCAAAGTCATTAGTGCCATTTAACCGTTCAACTCCCCGCGGTAATCAACATTTACTTTCTCCTCAAATAATCAACATATTAGTCAACAAACAGTCGATGAGGATATAAACATTCATCAGCTGGAGGTGTTGTCTTTGGTTCTCGGTCACAATTCTCCATATTAACCTATACAAGGAAATGAGCGACATGAAAAAGGGAGAGTTGTTGGCCAGATCTTAAGGGTTATAGTTCAATGACCAATTGAATTTCCCAAGGAGAAATTTCAAGATAAACGACGCAAATAATCCAGTTTTCTCTGTTTTTTCTTTACTACGCTCTGCGACTAGTTGAGAAAACTCGCACCTCCCTCTTAACCAATCAGATACAAAATTAAAATCAATCGCGACTTTTTCACCCATACTTCCCCGTGCTTCAGTCAGTTTTACTGTCTTTACTTTGAGATCTTATTGGCTACTGATGATGTTAACCTTTGTTCTGAAATCCCGTGGTAATCACTTTGGTTCTGGTTTTTCGAAACTCTGTTGAAAACTTATCTTATTTCTACTAGAATACTTAGTGAATAACTGGCAGAAATTCACATGATTTTTCACATACTATCATCTTTGAATTCGTGAGATAAATTGAAGGCTGACGGCAGAGTCAAGCGCTTTAGACAGTGTCAATCAATTCCCCCACAAAGGGCTAACGCTCGACACGTCAGCTTTTGAACTCTTTACGACGGCCAATTTACATTATCACCTCAGTTGATAACACTAAATTATCCTGTTATACTCTCCTACCGACGCAGCACCACAGTTTCTTTAGAAACTTACCCCCTTCAATCAAAGTTTGTGTGGAATAAACAAACCTTTCGTTCTTCGGTTCGGCAAAGACCACCACTGGTCGTCCACAAAGAAGAGCGTACAGCAAGTGAATACAAAAACTCAAGTTGTTTCGCAAGGATAACAAGTTAGAACCTGACAAAACAAAATTGTAACATGACAGATTACCAGTCAAAGTTTGTGCCACATATTTTGCAGTGATGGTTTTCAAACCTAGCACCAACACATTATGAATTGTGTCTGGTTCAAAATTTCATTGAATTTATTATACAGCGGTGACCATTGTGTGAGCGTGCGCATTGAGCCTGAGAATGGCTTGAGATATCTTGTGCCACTCAGACGCCCTACAATCGGTTCCAAAAACGTATTTCTTTTTCCTTCTCAAAATATGGCGTTTGACACCAGCAGGGTGTATACAGGCTGTGTGTTACACAAAACTGGGTAAAATTTCCGATGGAAAGGGCAGGTACTGCGAATTCAACCAACCAAACTTGCGCATTACTCGAACATGAGTATCACAGCGGAAGAGAAACAGGAGGCAGCCAGAGGAAAGATGGAGAAGGGCTGAAGATAAAGAGCATAGTAGACGGGTTTGCCACCTGATCAACGGCCGTCAATGCTGGGACAGAGAAGGTTGAAAGACGCAAGTTAATGGCACATTCTTCAAAAGGATTGTAGGAAGCAAGTCAGTCAAATCCTACCGCCTGGTCTGAGCTCAATGTGGAAATTAGCATGCCCTGTTATAATGTGCAGCGATCCCATGCTTTTCAAGGACTCAAACAAAACCTTTTTGACGACCAAGAAAAATTTACTGATTACAAACTGCTCAGTGTCGTCGTACGTACAAATAAAATCGTGTAACATTACCTGTGTACGATGCTAGCGGCTGGGAAACTTCTTCTGCAAAACACCTGAGTCGAATCATTTCGGGTCTGGAAGAAAACACATCAATTTATATTATTTAACAATCTTTACAAATTACAAATCAGATCACACTTAAGTCACAATTGGATCAATTTTCAATTGAAATTCGAAAGCAGTTTACGATTGCTTTAGTTTTCCTTTACCCAGCTCTGTGATTGAACAAGAAAACTGACGTCATCCTCTCAACCAATCAGATGCAAAACTGAAACCAATCGCGACTTGGTCACCCGCGTTTTCCCGCGCTTAAGACTGCCTGCTTGTTGTTAGTTTGAGTTCTCACTGGCTGCTAATGAGATTGTTTGTGTTCCAGTTTGGTTTTGGCAAATACAAAAAGCCAATCGAAATACGGTTGAAGTCTACTTAGGTCGCTTTAAACACCTGACAAGCCATTTTGTGAACGAGTCTTCAAAAATCGGCATGGAGAAGAACTGAGAATGGAAATTGTTAACCCTTTAACTTTCAAGATCTCATTAGTAATTCTCCTTACTGTCTGCCATATAGTTCTTGTAATGTTAGTTTAGAGAATTTGGTATTGGATTAACTCATAATCCCCTAATTCATATTTTCTTTATTCTCATCACTTGTCTGCTTGATATTGTGAAGAGAAATTTTGTCTTGGTCACCCACGGGAGTTAAGGGTTAGGAAGAAAAATTGCTGGTGAAGAGTTTAACAACAATAATACCACAAAATTTTCTACCACAAATTTCGTTACAATAAGGATTAAAGCTCTTCAATAGCAAACTAACCAGTAAAAAAGTTATAGGTGAGTCAGACGATTTCATGTCAACATTTTCGAATGTAAAAGAAATTAACCTTGTGGATCGGGGTATATACAAGGATGGAAGAGTGAATTATTCATAAAGGTAAATAAAGGCTGAGAACGCAGATACATATATAGAAAAAAAAGAGTTCCGCACGCATATACTGTGGTCCGTTCAGTTGAGTTTGAATATTTCGTCTCTCACTTTGGTCTTTCTTACGTTCGACAATGATGACATTGAGCGTTCGAAACGACGAGTTTGATTGCCAAGGCTGTTGCTCAGATATAATGCAAATAATTAATTGATGAAGGATAACCAGAAGATAATAATGGAATTCTAACCTTGTGTTATAACGCGATCTTTTTTGAAGCACTTTTTCTTCTCCACTGCACAAGGACGTTCGTGGGGTATCCAAGCTTTTAACTCTCCTAACCGAATTCTTTCCAAACAAGTTACTTTTCACATTTGCATTTCTGAAGGGAACATTCGGGGTGTTGACAATCGGAACCCTCTCAGTTTTCGGCGGCGATGGTGAATTTTGAATCTGCAAAACCGGTAAATCCAGTTTTTTCCTTTTTCTCTGGTGGCCACCCTTTGAATCCGGCGACGTCGCCAAACTCTCTAAACTTAAACTCTTTCCTCTGAGTTGACTGAAATGCATCCCAACGTTTGTTTCAGTGGTACCACTTGCTGGTCTACTGAGAGGAGACCCACTCAGATTTGACAGAAACTCTTCGCCCATTAAAGCGTAATCCGCCAGAGACACAGTCTCAACGGTCGCTCTCGTGAGAGTTGTATCCGAATGAGTGGACATCACGTCACTGTCATCCGCAAGAAGAGATTCAGAGGTACTGTTACTGAAAATTTCATTTCTTTCTCCTCCTTGCAAATCAGCATGGAATGAAGAGCTGAAAAGAGCATGAGACAAAATTGAAATAGATTTCAAAAGTGCTTGAAATTAATGAGCTATTACTTTTCGTGTACGTAGATTGTAAAGGCAAGTAGCAGCAACCAGGCGACAACTGGCATCTTGATACTTCGAAGATTTATGCGAAAATATTTGCCTTCGCAACATAAGGTTTTCTTCTGGCGCAACACGTCGCACAGGCATTAAACCAGCTTACAGTAAGATCATTAGAAAAAAAACCACCAAAATTTGAAATTTTAAGTAAGCCGCAGGCCTTTTCTCCTGTCTCTTCTCTGTACTGGTTAGCAGGGATGTTAAAGAATCCACACACTCCTTTCAAGGAGTAGGGAACGTTGCTCCCGGTGTCGTTGTCTGACCTTGTTACTGTTTACAAAGGCCCCTATTTAAACCTGTCCTGAGCTGAACTGGGCCAGCCTGTCTAAATATCGCAAATACAAATACAGATTCAAATATAGCGATCACGACTTTGCAAATCGTGATGCAGGGCGCTAACGGTTTCATGCCGTCCCAACCGTCTTTGCTCGCCTCCGCTGTGTGCCAAAATAATGGAACAAAAAGATATGACCTGAAACAAGAAGGAAATCATTTAGACTCACGATGGTGTAAATGGTGAAAGGATTCCATCACTTGACTTCGAGGATCCTTCGAACTCGTCCTCGACACAGGACTGAAAAGAATCCAGGCTGTGCATACTTTCTAAGCTACCACACTGAAAATAAAAATGAAGTGGAGAGGTAAAGTCAATCCTCGATATGGAAAAGAACGCACGAGGCAAACAGCATTTAACAATTGTAAGAGGGAGGGTTTGAAAGAGATATTTGATTCTGAGTGCCACTCTGCATTTTCTCTATAGTTTATTTCAATTTTCGTGTGTTCACGTCTCCGTTACGTCCCCCCGAGTCCGTGGGAGAAAAAGATCACCGCTGGTCACAAGAGACTGGGTAGGAACCTTCTATTGTGGAAACTTAGAATGGGTTTAGTAAAAAGAACCAAATTCAAAAGTGCTTCCCCTAGTAAAAAGCAAAATACGTCGTTCTGTATCTTTAAGGAGTGATTAGAGCATTTGAGTAATCAACAAATCGGAACACAAATTTAAGTTCGTTTAAAACGATTAGGCTAAGTTATCTGCGCACGAGTAGTCCAAAGCGGCTATATTAATTGTAGTTATAAACATTGATAGTAACTCCCATGATCAAAGAAGTAATTCTCTTCTCTCCATGCTATCCATTTCAAGTTGCAAATTAGTGGAGAGAAATTGTTGTTATCTCATTATGAAACACCATCTCTTAGCTGATGAAACTACTTTTTCTCGTCACCTTTTTCTGGAAAATTTAATAAAATTGCAAAGCGAAGTTAGTTGTTCATCGTTAGTATGAGATAAAGGCTTAACACACGTCTTGAGGCAAGAAGATGTTGCTTTGTAGCTGTTAAATTATATTAAACACAAAGAAAAACAATTCATACCGACGACTTTCTTGTAAGACACTCTTGACTTGGAGTATCTATGGGGGAGCGACTGGTGGTGCAGCTGTCCACACACTTCCTACAGTTTATACACAAAGGCGAGATAAAATGGATATTAGACTGAACGACAGGTTATTATCGAGTTTTACTTCTATCTCTGGTTTAACAGTTGCTAAAAGTCAGCTAAGGTGTTTTCTAACAAACTAATTATAAGGAAACTAATGTATATATTGAAATTGAGCCGTAGGATATTCAACCCCTTCACACCTAAGAGTGACTAACATCTACTTTCTCCTTACATATCACCCCTGAATCCCACATAGAGGTCACAAGAATAAAGGAAATGATCACCAACTAAAGAAGCTCTTGATTGTTAAACAAATTCTTCTCGTCAGCACCTTAAGAAATGTATGCTGAACAGTATGGAGAATATGCATACTGATATTAAGATGTAAAGGGTTAACAAACGTCAACGGACGATAGAAGAAGGCGAAGAAAGAATAATTATTGTTTTCCTTTTCACACTCAACATTTACTCGTGCGCTCTCGCGCTCGCTTCGCGTTCCCTTGTTTAACTATTGAAAGGTCAAATTACGATGGAGGGACTAAATTACTGTACGTTACAAACTTACATGTCGATGTTTCGAAGAACGTTAGATACTACACTGCGGCCAATGGTCAGAAGAGCGGGAAAGCGATCTATAATGACAGGAGACCCAAAGCAGATAATACCAGTGTTCATCATTTGACACTATAAATGGAGCAAGATTTGCTCGTAGTGGTTGTGGTTTTAAAACTTTTCAAGGTATGAATGCAAGATGATGTGACAAGTTAAGTGTTCTCATAATATTAAGTTGCTGAGGTTAGACGACTGAGTTTTTAAACTAAACCCATTGCATTTTGATTGGCGGTCAGCGACGTTCAAAGCGAAGGTACATATCACAAGGAACCAGTTAAAACTCAAAGTAAACGCGCATAGACAGACTTGAAGAGTGAAGAGGTCGCAAATGGTTTAAGTTTTGAATCTGATTGGTTGAGAGGGTGGTGATAGTTTCTTACACTAATAAAGTAATATTAAATTGAGCGTCGTTAATAATCCGAGATGGATTGGATTTGCTTTACTTCGTCATTTGATTGGTCTACAAATCTTGAACCATCCTCCTCACTTTGTATTTTCATTGGCTCTATGTAATATTTTCCTTTCCTCTGATTGGTCTTAGCAATTACTTTGGTTCTGATGTTACGACACTTAATCAAAACGCGCTTTAACAGAGCGAAAGAAGGCAAAACAAATGCAGTTAGTAGTACCTCGGTTTTTTCAGTTGAAAATGCGCTACTAAAATGTACAAAGAATCCTTTCGAAGGGTTATTAATTTTGTTTAAATACCAATTATATGCTCACCAAGATGGCTTGTTTCCGTCTTTTCAATTAACAGTGCGGCAGTTTCTCTGTTGTAATGCTAGGAATGTATGAACGCAAAAATATGAGAAGTAAATCAAACATTAGAAAAGAATATAGTTGACAGAAGTTTTGGTGCATGAAAAGCCCCTGGAACTGTATAGCGAGTGGCTCACAAGAATGTCCAGAAAGATGATCTAGAGTGCACAACCACGAAGAAAAAAGAATTCAAATTTCTATTATTTCTGATATATTATGACACATTTATATTTATATTCATTCTGTTTCTTACTTAAGACTTAACTCTAGGTTTATTTATCTTATTGTACGTTTATTTATCTCTTATTTTATAATATAGTAGGTCCACAACAGCCGTAAAGTTGCCATTTTTTAACTTACTTATCAAATAAAGATATGATAATGATGATGATGATGATGATGATGATGATGATGATGATGATGATGATGATGATGATCATGATCATGATGATGATCATGATGATGATCATGATGATGATCATGATGATGATCATGATGATGATGATGATGATGATAATGATGAAGTTCAGAGAATTCAGATTCCCGGATTTAAAGGAAAGAAGAACCCCTAAAATTTCCCTCTCTCCCAACTTCTAGCTTGGTAACCCATTTGGTAGCAGCGCCTAATTAGTATCTGGGAGGCCTGGATTCGAATGCTGTCGAAGCCTAAAGTTCTCTCTGGTTTCTCTCCTGTAATTGCTTAAATTACAGTCTTCCTGTGAGGATCGTTTCTTTGGTTGATCTTCAGTTACCTTAAAAACACGTCGAAGTCTGCTGAGTCCTTCTTTTGCTCCCCACTCACACAGGTCATGTAAATGTCTGAAAGTCATAACACATAAAAATTCACGTAGTACCCCCAACAACTTGCAAACACTCACGCGCCTAAAAAGTACTAGAAAATTCACCTTGAGAGGTTTCAATCGGAAGTGATAAAAAAAAACCCAAAATGGAGAACTGACATACCATATCAGGTAAAACTTGTCACTAACGAAAGTTGCCAGTGTAAATGGCATGACAAGGGAATTGTGTAAGGCTTTAACTTACGAGAAATTAGCAATTCTACTCCAGCGTGTTTTTCTCTAAAAATGTTTATGTAAACAAATATACTTTTATCAAGAAAAAATGGTAACCCCATCGTCATGTTGCCCCAAAACACTTTGCCCCCCAGTCTGGGTGACTTCACCCCACCTGAAGTTACCCTGCCCCCCCTCATTGTGCAAGAACACCGGGACAAGGTTTCTCAACCAACAGTATCAAGGTGTACCGATGGTTTGCATAAACCGATCACGTTTCGTTTTGGTCAAAACAATAATTAAAAGTTCTATAACCATGCTCCCCATTCAGTCTCGGGAGAAAAATCACCATGATTTCAATTATGCACGAAAAGAAGACAATGTATCAATTTGATGGCAGTGAAAGCAAATGACAAGAAAAAGAGCATTTTCCCATGCTTTTGGTAGCTTTCCTGTTTTTACTTTGAGTTCTCATCGACCAATGATGGTGTTATCTTTTGTTATAATCGGCTGAAGTGATTACATTGGTTTTGAATTTTTGACAGTTAATTGAAAACTACACAAATGTAATACTAAATTTCCCTCACTAGCTTACCGTAACTGTTTCATACTATTAAGATAAGTGGGCAAACAGGACCTAGGCTTTAGCTGTAAAATAAAATCATGAAATCTGTGATCA